GAGTCTTGCAACGCAGCCCCTCTCCAGTGCCATCAATCCAGATATACATGGCTTGGACCTTGTCGCCCTGAGGCAGGGACATGTACACCTGCTTGATGCCTTTGTTCAAGTGGGAACTCGCTGAGGTGGCCATGGTGGAAGATGTTCTAAGGAGAAAAAAGTAGCTTTATCAATATGGATTCTAAACTGCTCCCCTGCAGGAACGGGCTTAAGATACAGTCTAAAAGGGAGTTGGCAATCCCCCTCTTAGAAATGAACACACCGAAAGATACCCTTTTTATTTACTCTCCTTTCAGAGAACTTAGGACCAAGGCACTGGTAGTAACTCATCTATTTACACTGTGAGGCTTAGCTACTGCAGATAGAATCCCACCCTCCCAAGCTAGAGTCTATTCTTGTGATTCTTTAATTTCTACTAGTGTGATCATTCTATCCCTCAGTATAGCCAATATAGAGCATTTTAATTATTTATTTGGTGCAGGGTCTTGATACACAGCAGCTCAGACTCTGTCTCAGCCCCCACAGTGCTGGGATTACAGGCATGCGCCACCACATCCAGTGGCCATCATGGCATGGGCCAGCACAGCATGTGGTCCTTGCACTTGCCAGGCAGGCACTTAGACCACAGAGCTACTTCCCCAGCCCAAGGTAGGGGATTTGAAAACTAAACTGATGATCCAGGCATGGTGACACACCCTTGTAATCTCAGCACTCAGGAGGCTGAGGCAGGAGATCACTGGAAGTGTGAGGTCAGCCTTTACATAGTGACCCTGTCTCCTAAGAAACAAGCAGCTACTAAAAAGAAGTGAAATAAACATTCAGAGATAAAATGTCTATCATCTCCCAATACAAGTAAAATCCAGAAAATACAGCTATTGTTTTCCTTGAGTCTCCTCTGAGCCTTTCATCCCTGTGGTCTTCATGGAGATCCACACTACCCTCAAAAAAACAAAACAAAACAAAACAAAAACACCTCCCCAAAGCTTAGATTGGAGAAGAAAAAAAGCCAGTCGGCTAGAACATTTACTCAAAAGCTGTGGGTTGGTTTTGCTATTACCATTACAAAGGTGGTTAAAAATAGTTGTTTCAAGTCAGTTTCAAAGGTAGTCTTTTAGTAATTTTCACTGGAATGATATGAAACTCTCCCTTCAGGACAAAAGCTCAGACTCAAGCACCAAAATGACAATACTCTCTTGAGATTCCCTTAGAAAGCCTCTTTTAGTGGGAAATTCCCACTCTGAATCAGTAAGATCGCTATTTCCAAAGCTCTGAGACAGCCTGAAGACTACAAGCTACAGTCACAAACCGCTGAAAGAAGAGAATCTCTGAAGCCACAAAACCAGCCTCAACAAAAGAGGAAACATCCCCCGCCCTCCGTGGCCCAGTGTGGCTGGAAAGGGAACATATTGTTCTCTAGCGACTTGGGCAACTTGTGAAGCACAGTGGCAATGTTTCTACGGGCAACCGTCCATGTTTGGCCAGCTGTAAACAACTGCTTCTCCCAAAGCCTCACCCAAGGGGAAGGGAACCTCGCTAGTCAAATCCCACACCTTTGCCTACTGTCTAACCAGATCCAGTCATCAGTCCACCTTGCACCTCTGCGTAAAAGCCAAGCCAACTGCTGAAACCTTCAGTGTCCACTGGAAGCTGTCTCAACTCCAACATCAAACTACAGGTTGTGGATCTTTCATTTTTCGTTGGGACCAACTGGAAGGCAGCAGCCTGTGCACCGTAACCAACTGTGCGCCGTGCCACTGCCACGGAGGTACCAACTTCAGGCAGGGAAGGAGTCGGGGATTCCGGGCGGTTTCTGCAGCCGCTGGCTGTGCAGGGTCCTCTTTCCGGCCCCTCACTCACCCCAGCCACAGAGCGTGCACCCCGTTGTTAGGGTTGCCCTCTCTAGCTCTCCTCCTTTTAGAGCTGTGCTCGTGCTTCTCGCTTTCGGGCTCTCGAGGCTCCATACACTGAAGTTTGCCGGAGGAGCGCTTTGGCGGGGGGGACCCGGAGCGCTCGGAGCAGGAGGTGCTGCAATTGGCGGGCGGGTGGTTTAGGTTCATAACCTTGATCTGAGTCTTCTCCCCGTAGTTTCCGGGGCAGGCGACGAAGGCCAGGCAGGTGGGAGCTTTCACGGCCCAAGAGTTGGGGCAGTCTTCACCTTCGTCCGGGGTTTTCTTTGTGGACGTGCGGCCGGGGGAGCATCCCCGCTTTCCGCCCCTGGGGGAGCTGGGGTAATCCACCTTGAAAGCTGTCCCTTCCCACCGCCGCGTCCGGGAAGCCGGCGCCCTCCCTTCGGGCCGGCCTAGACTCCCGGCCTCGCTCAGGGGGCCATGGCTGCACCCTGCAGGGCAGGCTGGGGGGTCCGAGGCGCCTGCTGCTGCCCGCCCAGCCTCACTGGGGCGCCCCGCGGCCACGCCAGCGGCCGGCGCTCCATTGTTCCGTCACACCGCGAGGGCCGGGACCACGCCACCGACTAGAGCCGCGCTCCGACGCAGGCGCCTAGGAGACCCCGGCCCAGCGGGGCTCCCCACAAGGCGCCGGGGCAGGGGCGGGCGAGGCGCCAGCGCCGGGGACCCCAGGACCCGCTGGACCCCGGCTCTCGCCACCCGGGACGCAGGCAGGCCTGGGGGCGGCGCCTCCCCGGGGCGATCAAAACAAACCACCATCACCCCGCCGGCGCCTTCCCGGCCAAGCGATGGCGCGCGCGCCCTGTCGCCAACCCCCGGGTGGGGGAACCCGAGCCCGCGCCGTGCGCGAGCGCAGCGGGCCGAACCGAACGGGCCGGGGCGCGAGGAGGGCGGCGGGCACCGCGCGCTAGCTTACCCGGCAGCGAGCAGGAGCGAGGCAGCCGCGAGGGCGAGGCAAGGAGGGCGTAGAGAGGCCGAGGCTGTGCTCACGCGAGCCGCGCTGCGCCCATGCTCAATCCTGCCGGCGGCCGCAACCCGCTGCCTTTATCCGCCGCCCGGCGCCGCCCCCCACGCCCTGATTGGCTCGCGGCGGCCTGGAGCGCTGGCCCGGGAGCCGGTGCCGACGGGCCCAGGCGGCCATTGGGCGGGGAGCGCTTCGGGCGCCGGGAGGTGGGGGCGGGGCGGGGCGGCGAGCCGGGAAGAAAGAAAGAGGGGCGCGGGGGAGGGGGAGGGGCAGGGCGGCTCCCCCGGGCGCTCCGCCACCCCAGGCCGTGCCCGGGCCTGCGGCCCCGCGACTGCCGCCTGGCCCCCGCCTCGCCGCCTCCGTGTGCCTAGGTTTGCGAGGAGACCTCCCTGGTCAAGCAATCCAGAAGCAGAGAAACCGAATCTGCCCTTTGTGTGGAAGAGCCACGCGAGGCGGGAGCCGGGGAGCTCCGCGCGGCCGGGGCCAGGCCGGGCGCCCTTGGGGCCTGCAGGGATCTGGGCTCAAGGCCTGGAAGCTCCCCTCCCTGGCTCCCTGGGGGGCTGGGCAAGTGAGCAGAATTATGGGAATGCATTTTTAAGCGAAGTGCTGTGTTTCTGAAATTCCGTAAAAACTGTTCTGGAGGGCAGCAGAAAATCAGACTTGTCAGCTAAGGCCTCCCCTCCTAGGTCAGGCCGTGGAAATCTTTTCAACCTCTCTGTGCACCTTTCCTTATCAGCAAAATAAAGTCTCTCCCGAATGACCTTCAGAGCCAAACACCAGAATTGAAGTTTCAGTGTGCAAACTCAGCCCTAAGGGCGGCTAATTCCTTAAGGGCATGCTCACTCGAAAATTAAGTTTTTCTTTTCTTTCAGCCTTTCTCCAAAGGTTGGGGAAGCATGTTTGTGAACACCACCTTGAGACAAATCTTCGTCCACGTGCACAAAATCAAGCGACACATATGTTGCCGTCCACTCTGTTTTTGAGCACTCTGTTTTTAGTGCCTGAATTCCATTTGATGGTGTCTCACCATTGCGTGTTTTTTCAGGAGTCCTGGTATTTGAAATTCTGAGATTTTTCTGTTTAAAGACCCAAGAATTCACTTCCAGTGCCTTTAAGTGGAAAGGAGTAAATTTGTTCTTCTGGTTATGCTTTGTACCACAAATATGGAAAAGAAATGTTGCCTGTGGCCACACACCCAGAACGTGGCTTCTGTGGTCAACATGCTGTCCTTTTGAATGTGTTTAATGCTGTAGCGCTTTCAGATGATTCAAATAGGTAGCTGGGGTATATTTTGGAATGGACAAGGCACCTTGCAAATTTCTTGTTAGATTTCAGTGCTACGCAGTGAGGCATTATAACGTGGCTAATGAGGGGAGCCCTCAGGTCAGAAAAAACGTAACTTCCCATCTGACCATCCCCTGTGGCCGCTTTGAGTTGGCCAAATTCCATACCCACAGAAAACTTCACTTTGCTTGCCTATAAAATTTGGAAAATAAAAACAAACAGGGAAAGCAACAGCTACCTTACATTTTATAGGAATTTATTGTTACAGCATATGGATGGCATATGGTGTATGTCAAAGAGTGGTATCTGGAACACAATGTTTAGAAAATAGTAAAACACACACACACACACACACACACACACACACACACACACCGGTTTTTGAGACTGAACCCAGAACTTTAGTTATATCCCTATTTTTTTATTTTGAGACAAGACCTTGCTAAATCACTAAGTTGCCCAGGCTGGAATCCTCTGTGAGCCTTCTGCTTCAGCTACCGAAGGTGCTGGGGTTATAAGCATGCACCACTATGGCTGGCTAATAATTATCATTTTGATAGATCAGAATAATTTGAAGAGATTGCAATGTTTCTTTCTCCATAGTAACTCATTAAAAATACTTGCATAAAAAAAATACTTGTATGACTCTGTAATCCTCCACCTTGACTGAAAGTTGGCTTAGAACTAGTCGCAGAGTGAACAGACCTATGCAAGTAGAAGGGAAGACATTTGTTCTTTTGTACCTCAAATATGCAAAAAGACTCTGATGGAGTCTTCAGAGAGTTCAGCAAGAAGCAGAAGAGAGGAAAGGTATTGATCTCCAGATGCCAGATTGCCAGAACATAAACCAAAGCCTTCTGCATGCATCGTCACCAGCACCTGACATGGGCATAGATTTTAAGCTTACAGCCTTTCTGCCAGGTGGGTGCCAAGTTCCTTTGCTGCACAAAGGAACCTATCTGAGCAATGGCTTTGTCTCCATATTCCCCAACAACATCCCATGTGAATGTTCAATAAATGTTTGTCGACCACACAGACGAGACAGCGGCACCATCAAGAGAACACGTGCTTCGGGTTGCTTTTCCGAGAATGGAAGTGAATTTGCTTTGATCCTTTCATGTGACCAAGGGCGGCGTTTGTGAGGGTTAGGAAGGTAAAACATGACCGCTGACTCAGCAGTGGGCAGGAGGGCTTGCCGCCTTGGCTGTGCCCACATTTACTTAAGTAGGACCCAGATGCATGCAGCGACTGACCAGGGGAGGGCAAGAGTGTACTATGGAGAAAGCAGAAGGAAGTCCTTAACTGGCTCACACCCAGAAACTCAGGCTGCACTTTTCAAGAAGTCTGAAGGGTTTCCTTCATCCACTAGACTTCAGGGTGTCTGCTGCCCTTTCTTGTTCTTCCCCTTCTTTCTTGAATTGCCACCACTCCTTTTTATACATGCACGCACGTGTGCGCCATGAAAAGAGCATTAGGATGCTGAAACCCATGAGCTTTTTAGGCTTTTGGCACACACAGTATCAAAGCCAACACTATCTCACGTCCTTTGAAGTCATATTTTCTCTCTCTCTCTCTCTCTCTCTCTCTCTCTCTCTCTCTCTCTTTCTCTGAGTGGAGCTGCTATGCCCCAGAAGTGGGCGGAGTGGGAGAGCAACATTACAGAGAATGACTGTGTTCCCAGCCTAGAAGAAGCTTGAGCTGAACACCTGTCTCTCCCTTCATCCCTTCCTTCCTTCCTTCTCTCCCTCCTTCCTTTTTTCCTTCCTCCTTCCTCTTCCTTTTCCTCCTGCCCTCCTCTTCTCTTTCCTCTTTTTGAAACAGCAACTCACCAGGATGTCCAGATTGGCATTGATCTCAGTCTTCCTTCCTCAACCTCTCAAGTAAATGGGGTTACAGTCTTGTGCCACCCTGCCTGGTTAACTCCATTGCTTCAGTTTTGTTCTACTGCCTGAAATGAAGGCCTTGGCATGGGTGGGCTTTTCTGTGGGCTCTCACACCATCTCTGCCTTTTCAAGGACCGGCCCACCCCTGCAGGTATGAAGCCCTTCATCTAGTGTGCTGAGAATGCTTTGCCAGGGCCTGTACAGCTGCTATGCACTGGAACACAAAATCAGTGTAGGGCTTAAATGAACCCAACCTTTACATCATGACATACTGTTTGGAATATGGAGTTTGCCCTATAGATAGATGAATGATTTCATTTAATAGTGAGAACTTTAACTTAGGATAAGACACACAAAAGAGATTCAGGATTAGGGAGTACCCTGCAAACCCAACACATATCGTGAACTTGTTGGGGTTTTTTATAAAGCAGCATTGGCTGATGATGTCTGTTCTCACGATGGTCTTCAGAAGCCTGTCACGGTACTGCTGAGAAAGCCGTTTGGCAACACTGATGCTAGAAACAGGATTGGGGGACCCATGATTCCCAGCGTGCCCCGAGATACCTGTGACTGCTTTTCCAACAAGGCCTGAGTGAGCCATGATCTTACTGCCCCACCCCCAGACGTGGTGACCAAGATGAAGATGCAGAGGACCATTGTCATCCACCCACACTGTCTCCACTACATCCGCAAATACAATCGCTTTGAGAAATACCACAAGAACATGTCGGTGCACCTGTCCCCCTGCTTCAGGGATGTCCAGATTGGTGACATCGTCACAGTAGGTGAAGGCAGGCCCCTGAACAAGATAGTAGGCTTCAACGTGCTTAAGGTCACCAAGGCCGCCGGCACCAAGAAGCAGTTCTGGAAGTTCTAATTTCACCTGGCCACCCTCCAAAGGGAATAAAGTTATTTTGACTCTTGAAAAAAAAAAAAAAAAAAAGCAGCATCAATCCTTTCCAAAAGGATAGACCATAATGGGTATCTTAAACAGAACCAATACAAGTGATTAAAAAGAAAAGGAACAACTCTAGAAACTTACAGCATTATTCTTAAAGTATATTTTAGGGAAGAGCTCTAGGTGGCCAAGTTTCCAAATTTCATTGCACACAGGGAAAGATTAAGTTATACTTCAGTAACCGAGCTCTGAGCATGGGAGAAATGGCTGTATTTAGATCTCTTGATTGTGTGGTACTCATCAGAGAGGAGATTTGACCTTCAACTCTCAGCTGTCTCCCAACCAGCTTGTGTTTTTTGGTTTTTTTCTGATTTGGTCTGTAATACAAAACAAAGGAGAACACAGGGTCTCTCACTAAACTACATCAACTCTTTATTTTTTACTTTGAGATAGGGTCAAACTGAGTTGTTAAGTTGTCTACATGAAGCTTCAACTTGAAATCCTGTGACCTGGGCCTCTGGAGCGGCCAGGATGATAGGCATACACCACCACACCTGGCTTCCAATTTGGGTTGTGTTGAACACTCACTGAAATCTCTCAAATATAAGGAATACTCCATTTCCCACACTCCACATTCTGATAGACAGTTTGGGTCAGTCTGAGCTCTACCCCATGTCTTGTCTCTACTAGGAAAATGCTTGGAAAGTTGGGAAGAATCAAGTTTATCTTCTCTCACAAGGAAAAATAAGCTCCATTGGGAAAATTAGAGCCATACAATTAGATCTTCACATTGTTTTTTCTTAAAAGATAAATAACTAAAGCCTAGGAACTTTTATGAAGCCCCAAGAGAGAGGCACTTCATAGCTTAGTGTGCTTGGGCAGAGGCTGTATTTCCTTGATGGCCTGTACCTGACCATCTCAGTCCTCCTCCTTCTGCACAGAACATTGATCGTTACTCTGCCTCAGTTTCCTCAGCCTGTGTATGAAGTTCCTGGGCCACAACTTCTGAAATGGGAAATTTTATACCATACAACTTTGGAGAGTGTAGAGTACAGGGATCAGCCAATTTCCTTCAGAATGCGATGTCGTGGCCCACCCAGTGACTGGTGCATAGTGGGCATGCAGTGTGTGCCTTCTTTGTGAATGAATTAGATTGACACAAAATAAATGCTGCAAAAATAAATGCTGTATAGCAGGCTGTCTGCCATAACTTGGGAGGGATGGGGGTGTAGCTCAGTGATCAAGTATGGGCTGAACACATTCAAGACCCCAAGTCCGATCCTCAGCTGCCGTTCCTTCCTCCCCAAATTGCCAGGGTGAAGGAGTCTTTAGAGATTATTTCATACATATAATCATCTATGCCTACTTTCTTTGTTTTGAGAATCTGGGATTATGTTCTTTATTCTTAAAGGGTACAATGTCTCTCTTGGTTTTCTCAATTGACTGAGACATTACTGAAGCTTATTTAAAAGTTTATCCATGTGCAGTGGTACACACCTGTAATTTTAGCGTTCAGTGGGTAGAGGGGGACCAAGGCAGGAGGAACCCCAGGAGTTTGAGGCCAGCCTGGGGGTACACAGTGAGCACAGTGAGTTCAAACCCAGTTTGAATTACAAAAAATGAGATCTCTCTCTCTCTCTCTCTCTCTCTCTCTCTCTCTCTCTCCCTACACACACACACACACACACACACAC